ACTTGAAATTGCCTCTAAATTATTCTCTGTCAAAGTTTCCTTTAAAATTCCATAGAGCAGATTCACTGAAGATCTCCTTTGTTCAAAAAGCCAAACAAGACCAGAGGCAGCCCAGCCTCTTGTAAGTATGATCCACAGTCATCTCCATAGCTTCACAGATCCAACATTTTCTTCCACAGGCTGAACTTCCCAACCTATTCCTCCACAGTCCAGCTCTGGGTTCTGAATCCAAGAAATACATATAACTTTAATGTCAATCTTCCTTTTTTTTGTTGTTCACTTATTTACTGGAGTTTATCTTTCTTATTTTTCGTTTCTGGTTTCGTCTTAGGGTCCTCGTCCTGATTGTGAGGAGACTTCTCTGCCCTGAAACTTCGTCACTGATTGTCTCACTGCTTTAGAAGTTGTCGGGTCAGTAAGCAGATGAAACCAAGAGGCCTAAGTGATAAAGAAATATCTGCAAAAGGGGGCAACGAGAGTGGTTACAGAGGTTGGAGACAGAGCATGGTATAAAGGTCGAATTTCTTTTTTTTCCCCCCCAAAGTTGATTTATTTACTTTGACAGAGAGAGAGAGAGCACACATGCACTTGAGTGAGCGTGTGCAGGGGAGAGGCAGAGAGAAAGGGAGAGAGAGAGAATCCCTAGCAGGCTCTGTGCGGCCAGTGAGGAGCTTGACATGGGGCTCGAACCTACAAACTGTGAGATCATGGCCTGTGCTGAAATCAAGAGTCAGACACTTAGCTGACTGAGCCATCCAGTCACCCCAAGGTTGGCTTTCTAAAATGCATGTAAAAATGCCCCCAGGGTGGAACAGTTTGTCATTGGCCGAAGTGACAGGGCCATGCCAGGCCCAGGGGTGGGAAGTTTTGCAGGAAGATTTACAGAGGAATCAAGGGAAGTGATGTCATGTCCTTTGCTTCTCTAAACTGGTTCCTATAGCTTTAGTCTCAATAGTCACGTTATATTTACCAATGGGCAGATTTTATCCCTGATTTTGTTGTCTTACAGAATTTGATACTTTTCGTCATTCTTTCTTCACTCTTCACTTTTTCCTTATTAGAATTTTTTCCTCCCTTAACTTTTATGACTGTCCTCCCTCCTGGTTTTCCTCCTAGCTTTTGTTTGTTTTTGGCTAGTGTTTTAATCCCTTTAACGTTGCCCACTGCACTTCTGCTACACATGTGCTTCTACTTTCAAGCTTAAATCACATACTGTATCTTAGTTCTAGATATTTTCTCTAAATTTCATTTCAGAAACTTGTCCATAATGGATCTCAATATTCTTTGCTCCTTCCTATCGCAGTTGCCCTTCCTTCCTATTTTTGGTCCTAAATTATGGCACTTGTACACAATCCCCCAGGCCAGGAACAAATTCCTCCCTTTGCTTTACCATCAACAGTGGATAGTAAATGTACTAAGTATTGCTTTTAAGACCTTCTAAATCAGGGGCTCTCAAAGTGGGGTTCTCAGATCACCACCAGCAGCAGCAGCACTTGGGAACTTGTCAGAAATTAAAATTTTCAGGCCCCACTCTGGTCGTACTCAGGATGAAGGCAGAGATCTGTTTTTAACATGCCCTCTGAGTGACTTTGATGTACACTGAAGTCTGAGGACTGCTTTTCTAGACTTGGAATTGTTAATCCTAGGGATCCATGTTGGGCTTCAGGAGGACCAAAAAACATCTGTAATTGTACCTAAAACTGAGTGTATTTCCATATATATATATATATTTCCAAGTGGATGATTTTTATTCCTTTTCCTTTTTTTTTTTTTTTTTTTTTAATGTTTATTTTTGAGAGACAGAGACAGAGTGTGAGCGGCAGAGGGGCAGAGAGAGAAGGAGACACAGACAGAATCCTAAGCAGGCTCCAGATTCCCGATCTGTCAGCAGAGAGGGTTCGAACTCATGGGGACCGGACTGCAAGATCATGACCTGAGCCAAAATTAGACACTTAACCAACAGAGTCACCCAGGTACCCCACTTCCTTTTACTTTTAAATGGGTTCAATGCTTCCCAAATTTGGGACTGTTCTTTGCTTTCCCTTAATACCACCACTTATACTTTGATCTAGTTCTTTTGCCTTTAGTCTCCACCCTTTTCAATGGATCTTCATGTTTCAATGACAATGATCATTCTAAAACCTGAACCTGAACCTGCTCAAAGGTCTTCAACGACTCTCAATAGCATATAAAGTGTATAATAAAATAACCTCTTAGCATGACAAATAGCACCTTTCATCAAAGCTTATTCTTTTCCATGCCTCTGAATATTCTGCACCTCACTTGGGCCCTCATACCTCCCTGCATTTGTATATTCTGCATACTCAGTCTATAGACTTCCCTTCAATGCCCCACCCCTCCCCCACCCCCTCCCTTAGCCTACCTAATTCCTGTTTAAGATTCAGAACAAGGAATCTCTTTTCTGGGAAGTCTTCCGTTAGGACTAAGTTTAAGTGGCCCTCCTACAGGCTCCCAATTTTTGTCTGAGCTTATCCCTCTGGTAGTAGGTCTCAAACATTCATTTAAGACCCCTATACACTCTCAGAAATTATTGAGGAATTTACCACTTTAGAAATTAAATCTGAGAAACTTATTTTAAAACATTTAAAAACATTCATAAACCGATTGTATGTTATTTTTTAAAAATATTTTAAACATTTATTTATTTTTGAGAGATAGAGCACAAGCGAGCGAGGGGCACAGAGAGAGGGAGACACAGGATTTGAAGCAGGCTCCAGGCTCTGAGCGGTCAGCACAGAGCCGGACATGGGGCTTGAACCCACAAACTGTGAGATCATGGCCTGAGCCAAAGTCGGATGCCCAACTGACTGAGCCACCTAGGCACCCCAAACTGATTGCACGTTAATGTAAATGATACATTTTTATGATAAAATGATACTTTGCAAAAAAGGATTTGAGAAAAGTGGCATTGTTTTACATTTTTCAAACCTCTTTAATGTTTGGCTTAATAGAAGACAGCTGGATTCTCCTATTCATGCATTCAATCTGTTGTGATATATTTTGGTTGAAACATATGAAGAAAATCTGGTCTCACTCAGATAAGGAGTTGGAAAAGGGAAAACTATTTTCATAGCCTTTCTAGATAATTCTAGATATTCTTCTTTGATATCACACCAAAGTTGACATATGGCAGTTTCTTAAGAGTGCAGTTGCAATGTGGACTGAGTCTGAAACTGTATCAATTAACTTTGTATTCTGCTACATTAAAATGCATAGATCTATTTTCGACTTTGATGACTCATTTTGATTTTGTAATAGCATGCACTGGTTATTCTGAAAATAGTTGTTCATTGAGTTGTAGAGATCTTCCAAATGTTCACATATTTCATTATATAATGTCGAAAAATACATGTGTTAATATCACTAGTATTTTTTAACAGAAAAGACTTTACTGTAAAGTGGTAATTTAAGGGGGTGTATACAGGATGTATACAGGTTTTACACAATTTGTATTTTTGTGTGATTACTCAATCACACAAGTGCTTTTTTTGGAGACAACTCTTACTTACTTGGGCATGCAGTGTTAAATACTTACCATTTCTTCACGCACATTAGAAAGACGCCTATGCCAGGGTGAAGATTTAATGAAATTAATAATTTTTACTCCTTTGTCAAGGACACTCAGTTTATTTAAACAATCTTTTTTTTTTTTTAATGTTTATTTTTGAGAGAGAGAGAGAGAGAGAGAGAGAGTGAGTCAAGAGCTCAAGCCCCGGGGCAGGGCTGAGAGAGAAGCAGACACAGAATCTGAGGCAGGTTCCAGGCTCTGAGCTGCCAGCACAGAGCCTGCTGTGGGGCTGGAACTCACACACCACAAGATCATGACCTGAGCAAAAGTCAGGGGCTCAGCCGACTGAGCCATCCAGGTGCCCCCACTTAAAGATTCTTAAATTTTGTATGCTACCATTGCAAGGAGGTGAAACATAGAAAATATACTACTCTTGGTGCATTTTGGCGCCACTGCCTCGATTCCTGCTAAGTTGCCAGCAGTTTAACCTTGTATTGCTTTTACATCCTCAGTGCAAGTGTCAACGAAGTGAAAAAGGTCAACAAAGTCTTAGCATTATATTGTAAACTGTTTTGACCTTGCGGACCCACTGAAAGGGCCTTGAGTACCCTCAGGGTTCTGGGGATGGCATTTTGGGAGCAGCTGCCTTCGTTTCACATACTTGGTTGTCCCTCATTAGGTTGCAAGTTCCATGTGGACTGTCCGTAACTGTCTTTTACGTGCCCTTGTCTAAAAGTGCCTGGTATGTAATGCTCAATAAATATTAATATTTATATAAATATTGTAAATAAATATCTGCGAAATGAGCGAATAAATGGCGTTATAAACAACCACTGCAGGGCCTTCATCTTACTGCCTCCTTTCTTAATTCAATCGGAACTTAAAGGTTGTGTAAATTTTTCCAAGTTGTTTTTAATTAGGACGCCGGCCAATGTTTTCAGCAGTTGGGCGGTTTCAATAGTTGGGGCGGGGAAGCCGCCTGTACGTGATCATGACCGGCGATAGTTTAGCCAAGGATTAATCTGTGATGCCCGAGAGGCATTCCTCCTTCACCGCCCCAGACCGGCAGGCCAGGCCTCTTGGTTCCCCAGTTCTACCTAGGGTAAAGACGGGAAAGACCTGGGTCTCCCCAATTACGCGAGCACAGAAATGTATTCAGTTGAAGCGAGGGGGGGATGGGGAACCCATAACAATTCTGACGAAGACAAGACTAACAGGAGCTACGGCCTCGGGCACCCGGGAGCCCCAGGCTACAGCCTCCGCCGACCCGCCGGGTTGCCGGGGCGACGCTTCCGGCAGGCGCGCGCAGCCCTGGGAGCAGAGGAGTTGCGGAATGGGTGGCTAGACCTGCCCGCCTCCGTGAATTCGCCAGCGGGAGCGCGCTCGCGGCCGCGCGTACTTCGCTTTCCCGGCTCCGTCGCTGACGCGTCGTAGACGTTGGGGAGCGGGAGACAGCAGTAAGCGGGTCGGGATGAACCCCGGCGGCGGCTTCGGGTTGGCTTTAGGCTTCGGCCTCACCCCTACGGCGGTGATTCAGGTGACCAATCTGTCGTCGGCGGTGACCAGCGAGCAGATGCGTACGCTTTTTTCCTTCGTAGGAGAAATAGAGGAGCTGCGGCTCTACCCCCCGGAGTAAGTGCTCGAGCTTGGCTGGGGGAGGGGCGCGGGCGCCATAGAGACCTCGGGCACCGAGGCGTGGGGGAGAGCGCGGACGGGGGCGCGCCGTGCCCGTCACGTGATCTCCCGGGCTTACCTTGGTGCCCATGTTTGATTAGGGCACCCCGGCGCTGGGGCCCTGCGGTTCTGCTCTCCTTGTTAGTCTGACTTTGGGGGTTAACCTCTGCACCGAACCGTTACAGAGAATGTAGAGAAGTTGTTTATTTTCGTGCCTCCCCGATTTGTGGTCTCCGCTGGGTCCTCGTATTCAGTGTCTCTCCTTTTTCCTTTTTCTTCCCGAACTTAAGATGGCCGCAGGTGGGCCCGGAATAGTCCTCATGGCAAACGCCTGTTAGCGTTCTTGTAATGTAAAAATCGCGGAGACCGCGCCGGACGAACTGTCCCACTTGTTAGGGCTTTAGTGTCAGGCCGTTGTGCTGATTAGAAAGCCTGCGGCTGATGACAACTTGGCATTAGGGCTACCATTTCTTCTCTAGGGTGGTGTTCACAAATTCAGCATCTTGTCTAATCTGACCGAGCCCATCCATGTTGTTAAAGATCATGTCTTTTCGCCCTTTTGGCAGCGGATTAAAATTTCCGCTTTGAAGGTCACACTGTCCTAAGCCTTTCAGAGAAAGTATTAGTCGGTGAAGGATTATCCCTGGTGTATGCTCTAAAAGTCTAGATCTTTATTGGCATTTAGAGCTTGCGGCCAATTCCCAAGTATGTATTTTGAAGTAAGGTTTCCCTTGTATAGTACTGTGTATTCACAAAATTTGTAAGGGTTTACGGGTTCACATTCTTACACGCATAAACTTTTTTTTTTTTTAATGGTAGAGCTTAGAATTTTAAAATAGTATTTTGTTCATTGTTTCAAAATCCTTTGAAGGAAGGGCTAGTAGTTGCCCAGGATTTCTTTCTTTCAAAAAAATTGCCTTTGACTTTTTGGTTCATTTCATAATGATGCACGTAGACCTATTTTTCTTTCGGTTTCTATGTGTAAGTATATCGCATGGCTACGGTATAAGGTATTGGTAAAAGTTGGTATTTGGATTTAAATTTAAATTTTACTTTTTAAAGTTACTCTCTTTTTGTTTTGAAATATTTAATGCAAACTAAAAAGTGGAACGAATAACACCCACGTTTCCTTTACCTGTATTCTTTCTTTACCAGTTGATTTTTTTCTCTGTCTCCCCCTCTAGCTATCTGCACCCTCTACACTTCCTCTTTCTTCCCATCTTTTTCAAAGTAGTTGCAGACCGCATGATTATTTTTTTCTCAACACTTAAGTCTCTCTCTTCAGAACAGGTACATTCTCCTACATTACCACAATACTATTAACGTGTCTAAGAAATTTAACATTGGTATATATAACAAGTAGTTCATATTTAAATTTAACCAATTATTATAATCATTTTTTTTTGTTTTTCTTTTTTTGGTCTAGAATATAATCGGAAACCACCACTGCATTTAGATGCTACCTCCTTTAATCTAGAACAGTCCCCTGTTGCTTTTAAAAAAATATTCCGTAACAGTGATATTTTGTTTTGTAGTTTGTTTTGTAGAATGATGCATAATCTCGGTTTATATAGATTGTTTCGGATTAGATTGTTTATATTGATTAGATTCAGATAATACATTTTTTGTTCAAGAATACTTCATCATAAGTGCATGCACATACATATTTATTGACTAGCTGTGGCATATATGGCTTGAATATCTTATTTAACTTTTGAAAATGATTTCTGCTATCTCTTCATTTAAGCATTCAGAACATTTCTTAATAACTGAGAAGTACTTGGAGGAGTGCTGTAGCCTTAGGAGTTGGATTCGAGCACTAAAATTTTGTACATGAACCCTTGTAAACTAACCTTGCTTTCAAGGTTGTGGTAATAAGTTGTCTCATAGGTAGAAGAAATAGTTCACAATGCCAACATAATATCACTTTCATTGTTAAAACCAGGGTTAGGGTGGCAATATGCTGCCAGTTATAATGTGACCTTAGTAATGGGCTGTTTATTGAAATTAGATTTTCATTACTTGGAGTTTAAAAGTCAAAAAGAATAAAAAGCTATTAAACATAGTGGAGTTAGTGTGTCACAAACTGTGATACATTTTGCAAAATTGTAACCTAAATATGACACATATAGGCCAGGAAAAATTCTTCAGTTTTTCCTCAAGTGCAGTCCCTTCCTGCTTTTCAAAAATATTGCCATGATTTATCAGTGTGTTTTCTGCTCTATAATGAAGTTGTCATAACCTAGTCTTTATATTAAAGATATATTTGTAGATTTGAGCTGAAATGGATAACATTGCAATAGTAGTAGTAGTGAAGACAGATATGATTGTTTTGCAGTCTCTTGGAAACTGTATTTTATGATTAATGTTTGGAAGTGGAGTTAGTATTTCATTTGTTTTAAATTTGGAAATATATTTCTTTCATAGAATGGGAAAATCATTTCTCATTAACATTTTAAGAATTAAGTTGCTAATATGACAATTCAGATTTTAAATCTAACTTTTTTGGAATGAGGCAGTGATTCACTTTTTAATTTTTAAACATTGAGAATTAGTGTAAATATTCATTGTACATGTTTAAAATTCTCAATTGTGATCCTTTTTTGTGCAGCCGGCTGATAAATATCCAGAATTTTTTTTTTAGCTTGTTGCACAACAAATGAATATCATGTCATGAACACCTTTTTATGGCAGTAAAAAAATTTTTTGTAGTTTTTTTTCAGTAACCTTTTTTTTATTAGGTATAATGTACATACAGAAAAGTGAATGGATAAACATGCAGCTTGATGAATTTTCACAAAGCGAACATACCTGTGTAATCAGCATCCACATCAGGCTTATCTGCACCCTAGAAGTTTCCCATTGTCCCCTCCAAGTGACTAACCCCCAAAGGGTAATCCTATCCTGATTTTCAACACCATTTCTGACAACATCAACACCTATGTTGATTTTTTTGCTTACTGGTTTTCTTCACTTCTGTGGTCTTCAAAAATAGTAACAAGCAAGGGAAAATGTGTTAACTACTTATTCAGTTAAAAAAAAAATAGAATCAGTATAGTCATTTTATGAGACATAGAGAAAAAGAAACCCCACTTAAGATCTTACCATCCTTTCAAAACCTCTCTTCATTTCCATGTATTTGCCTGCAATCCTTTTTATATGTGCTTATTTTAATGTAGTGTAATTGAATGATTTATACACTGATAGTAAACTTTTTCATTCAATGTGTAATAAGCGTTTTTTCATATTACTCTGTCTTATTTATAGTAATAACATTTTAAAGTCTGTAATTATGTCTTGTGTGTTTTTGAAATTCTATCACTGGATATATTGGTCACTTTTTTGGTGTTTTGAGTTTGTGGATTTTAGCTAGAAATGTGTATTTTTGATTGTCAACAGTGATTGGAGTGCCTTCTGGCATTTGATGGGCAAGTGTCAGTCATTCATAAGAAAATCTTAACATAAGGAAAAATTGTGCCATCCAAAGTACCGCTGTAGTCCTACTGGGAAATCCTGTTATAAATTATGTGTCAGTTAATATTTTTATATATAAGTCCGTGTACTTTGTCCATGCTTTGGATTATATCCTTTTGATCTAACAATACTGGGTATATTATACCACATTGACTTTTAGAAAATTATAGAGTGCCATTACCTGTTTAATGAAAAATAGAATAACCAGTTAGGGCCCACAAAATTTGATGCTCAAAAAAGTTGGTTCTGTAATTTCTGCATTAAACTCCTAGTCAGAAATTTCTGATTTTTTGGAAAAATTATTGTAGAAAGTTTTGCATTTGAAAAAAGAAACAAAATTGGATTGAGCAAATGAGGTTAAAGTAAAATATGCTATACTTGGATACTGGTACTTTGTTCAGAAGCATACACTTAGAACAAATGGAATATGTAACATCCTTTTAAACATTAAAAATTAATTAAAATTAAAGCTTGGGTGACTTGGATGAGTGTCCGACTCTTGTTTTCAGCTCAGGTCATGATCCTAGGGTCGTGGGACCGAACCCTCAGAGGCTTTATTGTCCCCGGTTCTCTCTCTCTCCCTCAAATAAAAAAAAAAAATTTTTTTAATTAAATAAAATTAAAATTCTAGGTCCAAATTACATTTATCTGTTTATTTTTGTAAAGTTTATTTATTTTTGAGAGAGAAAGCACGTGCAAGCAAGTGGGGTAAGGGCAGAGAGAGAGGGAGACCGGAGACAGAGAATCCCAAGCAAGTTCTGTGCTGTCAGCACAGTCCAATGCTGGGCTCTGAACTCATGAACTGTGAGATCATGACCTGAGCCAAAATGAGGAGTTGGATGGTTAGCCAACTGAGTCACTCTGGAGCCTCCAAAATTACGTTTAAAAATAATAATTCTATTTAATTAAAAACTAAGTCTATTTAAAAGTTTACACTTACTAGAATGAAAGATTTAAGTATAAAAATTGGAAACAATGACTTATAAATACACATTTGTTGAGAAATTCATCATGTGTATTTAGACTTGCCACTGTATTGAATTTTAGATTATAATGTTCAAAATTAAAGTGTTAACTGTAAGCTGAACTTTATTTTGTATTTTTAGAAAGGTAATTGGAGATGAAGATAAAGAGAATTTCTTAGAGCACTATGTAAACCATACCTAAGTATCCACATTCCTATGATAATATTGGGTCAGAACAGATCAACCTTTTCAGCCCACTTCCTGGGCTTCTCAAATCTTGGTAATGGTAGCCTATCCTAACGTGTAGTTGCTTTACTAACCAGTGTCCTATTTCCTACTCCTCTGGATGTTTTAAATTTGAAGCGATGTGGTTTTAAGTAGGAGTATTGGAAAGTGCGTTTTTAGTTTTCAACAGTGACGATTTAGGTTTCCATTCTCTCATAAAAGGACCTGTCAGTTTAGGCATGTCATCTCACAGGCAGTTAGGCTTTTGCAGATTTCAGTGCTAAAAGAGAGTGTGCTTTTAATTGCTAGGGCTTTAGTAGTTCATTGTAATTATATGGTTTTTTTTTGGGGGGGGGGGTGGTTTGCAAAAGACAGAAACACTGCTACCCAGTCTGGCTCAAGAAGAGGTAAAATTATTAAAAAGATGGATATATCTCTAAATTAAGTAGGCCTCATGGGAACTGAGACTGGGAACCAGAAAGATACCAGCATCCAAGGTGATTATCTGCCTCTTCTCACAGGCTTTATTGTCTGCTCAGTTTGTTTCTGTGTATCTGCTCTGTTTTCTTTGCGGACTTATTTTGTACTTGGTCATCTGGCATCTGGCCCAAGCCCTGACTGTAAGTGACTTTTCAACCCAAGAGAGAGAATCTGATTGTTGCAAGTTCATTTGATCAAGCCATCCAAATGATAAGCTATTGGTTAGCCAGTGAAATGGGCCTTTGTGTCATGTGACTAATCAACTGTGACTAGAGGCCTCCCAAAATCTGATGAGGGTTTCATCTAAGGAAACTGCTAAGGCCTGTGCTGAAAGTGTATAGAATGTGGGGGGTACCTACCTAATCACTTTGTTATCTTAAAATGGCTTTCCAGAAGATTTGTAAACTTGAGCCTTGAATAAAAGTGGAATTACCATTCAAAAAGGAGAGGTAGGATATCATAGGCAAATGGAACAACATGTGCAAAGATGACCTAGATATTCAGAATGTGTTCTGGAAACCACAAATATTTCTAATGCCTGGATTTTGGGGTGAATTTATATGATAAAGCAATAACAGAAGCATGTCTTTGAGGAAATTTAAGCAGTGTGGAATGACATGACAAAATTTAGGGTTTAGAAAGGTCACTCTGGCAGCTTTTGTGAAGACCATTATTAAGTAGTTCAGATTGGAGTCATTGTGATTTTTTTAGGAGCCATTGTAAATAATCTGGGTGAGAAATGATGAGGGCCTGAATTAAGGCCTTGATAATGACAGTGATAAAGGGATTAATGTGTACAAATATTTGGGATGCAGTCTTCACAGGACTTTATGAAGAAGATGAAGAAGAGTGAGGGTCAAATATGGAAACAACCCCCAAATCTCAGTAGTTTTGTAAAAACAGCTTATTTTTAATGCTAAGCTTGCAGAGTAGGGAACTCTACCCATTGTGGTTGCTCACTCTGAGATGAAGCTGATGTAGCAGCCACCCATTTCTTGAATGTGGCTAGTCACTGTGGCAGAGGAAAAGAGCCAAGTGGTGGCCCTTAAAGCTCCTGAATGTCAATTCTGCTCATATTTAATTGGCCAAAACAAGTTGCATAGCCACACTTAACTTCAGGGAACAAAGACATGGATTTTTACCATGTAGTCAGAAGAGATTTGGAAATGTTTAGGGAACTGTACTAATGACGGTTACATTTAGTGACTCCAGATTCATAACATGGGTAATACAGTGATGTTTTTAACTGAGAGATGAAGTATAGGACAGGGACCAGGATTGGTGAGAAAGAGGGATGATGAATTTATTTTAGACCCAATAAGTTTTGGGGGATGGGCCCTGTGACCATCACGGTGCAGTATTCCAGCAAGCACTTAGATCTGGGAGTCTAAAGCTCAAGAAAGGCTTCAATTGGAGATTGGGTAATGTAAAGGTGAGTTAAGTCTAGAGGTGAATGTTTTTACCTCAGTGACAAATTCATAAAGTGCTGGTCTTAGTTGTTTGGGGGTTGGGGTAGTCATTGTTGGAGAGTGCCTGTGGAAGCCTGAACTGGATAGGCTTAGGTAGGAGTGAATTGGGTTGGGTTGGGTGAGAAAGAGGTAGTTTGATTTTATTAACTTGTATTACCCTGTTTATGTTAATAGTATAAATAGTTTCAAGTTCTAAATGCAAATGTGTTCTGTTATCACAGTATTTTATTAATAGCATTAATATGTATATTTAACCATTGTCAAGATGGATATGTTGCTTTATGTAAAAGATTTTTTTTTAATTTTGAAAATGGCTTCTGTTTGTGGAATTGCTAATTAAATAGTACATTAAGATACTTTAAAATTCTATATTAGTTGAATGAATAAGATTGCATGAGATTTGGATTTAGATGATTAGACTTAGACTGAAGTCCCAGTTTTGCCATTTACTCAGGTTAGGATTATGGTCAACTTCCGTGATCTCTTTTGTAAAGTAAATGCCTTACTGCACAACGCAAATATGATATTTTTCAAATGGTCTATTTGTTTATTTTTTAATGTTTGTTTATTTTTGAGAGAGAGAGACACAGACAATGCAAGTGCAGGAGGGACAGAGAGAGGGAGACAGAGTCTGAAGGAGGCCCCAGGCTCTGAGCTGTCACCACAGAGCCTGATGCGGGGCTCAAACCCACGAGATGTGAGATCATGACCTGGGCTGAAGTCGGATGCTTAACCGACCGAGCCACCCAGGAGCCCCTGGTCTCTCCTGTTTTAGTGTGAAATACTTAATGCTTTAAAGGACTGTATATATTATATATTAGGTATATATTTAGCTTCGGTGGCTTTTGTCCTTGCTAAAGACAGTTTTAGACTTTAATTGAACATAATCGTGGACAGATTGACAAAATGATCATCACTGAGATATTTTGGAATCTAAAAAGATGGACTCATATTCTGGAAAAACTGCTTTCATCTGGGCTGTGTCTGGCTTGCCAGACTGAACTGAATCTGATAGGATTTAGAAGGGTCTATGCTTTTCTGGGTATAAAATATGTAAAATTTTGTTTGTAAAATCTTTTGTCTGGAAAATCGCAATGCTGCCTAGGGTAAAGCAGTGTAGTATATGCAAAACACCTTAATTTTCATACCATGATGTCTGTCTGTAAGATTCTGGTGAAGTTTTTAGTTACAAGGGTTGGAAATGGTTACAAAATTTGAAGTCTTGAGGATTGGGGCTTCTATAAAGTGATTGTGCCTATTGATGATGTACTGGTTGAACATTTTTGGGTTAAATCAACTGTTTTCATGTTTCACTCTGATTAAGTATTCATTAATTTACATGTCAAGTTTTTACCGATGAGGTGATAGGCCTTCCTAAATTGCTGTCAGCCTTTGCAGGCAAATTACCACTAAAAGACTAAATTTTGCCTGGTGCAGCCACAACAGACAGCAGTATGGAGGTTCCTCAAAAAGTTAAAAATAGAACTACCCTACCATCCAGCAGTTGCACTACTAGGTATTTACCCAAAGAATACAAAAATACTGATTCAGAGGGGGTACATGCACCTCGATGTTTATAGCCAAATTATGGAAATAGCACAAATGTCCCATTGACTGGTGAATGGACAAAGAAGACACACACACACACACACACACACACACACACACACACACACACACAGTGGAATATTACTCGGCGTAAGAAAGAATGAAATCTTGCCATTTGCAATGAAACGGATGGAGCTGAAGAGTCTTATGCTGGGCGTATTAAGTCAGAGAAAAAACAAATACTTTGTGATTTCACTCATATGTGGAATTTAAGAAACAGAACAAATGAGCAAAGGGAAAAAGAGACAAACCAGGAAACAGACTCTTAACTACAGAGAACAAACTAACGGTTACCAGAGGGGCTGTGGGTGAGGGGATGGGTTAAATAGGTGATGGGGATTAAGGAGTGCACTTGCTGTGATGAGCACTACCAGGTGATGTATGGAAGTGTTGAATCACTATATTGTAAACTTGAAACTAATACTACACTGTGTGTTTACTGGAATTTGAATAAAAACTTTAAAAAGGCTAAGTTTTCATGTCTTAATGAAGACATTAATGAAAGACATTTTCATGTCTTGATGATTCTGAGCAGTCAAAATTCTTGTCTTGATTATGTAAGACTGTGTAAAGATCTGAGAAAGAAATTTCAAATGAAAATGACAAAATCAGCCAAATGTTTATTAGTCCAATTGTTTTTCTTTTTATTTTGCAGCAACACACCTCTTGCTTTTTCTTCCAAAGTATGTTATGTTAAGTTTCGTGACCCATCAAGTGTTGGCGTGGCCCAGCATCTAACTAACACGGTTTTTATTGACAGAGCTCTGATAGTTGTACCTTGTGCAGAAGGTTGGTATCTTATGTGTTTTTTTTCTATTATTGTAATCTCTGTCCTGTGTGTTACTACCTTTGGCTTTCCTAGAAATTGGTAGGTAGATAGTACTCTGTTGTGTGTGTGTGCGTGTGTGTATGAGTGAAATTTGGAGAAGGAAATAATTTTTACCTAATAATAAAATATATTAAAATGGTTGACTTATTACTTCTATATGCTTGAGATTTAATAGCCAAACATTTAAAAATTTCATGAATTACTTGGCTTCTCTGGTTTGCATTTGTTTTTTGTAGTTAATTTGCAAGTTGTAAACAAAGCTTTCTGAAATTAAAATATTAGGGTGGTAGGGGAAATTATTTTTAATATGTAAATAAGTGAGCATTTGCCCCTATATATACAATATTAATTGTATTACATAAATAAAAGCTATGCATTTTGCCAAATTGGGGATAAATGGTATTTGTAAGAAAAATATTCATAATTTAATCTCTGACGTATCCTCGTAAGGTAATTCACCTTGTTGCTGGGACCATTATTTTATATTTAGTGTGACTGCTGTGCAACTGAAATTTATGTTTTTATTTTAATGGCTTGCTTTTCTTGGAGGGTAGGTTGGGTAATTGAAGAAAAATAATGGAAAGTAATTTTCCAAGGCCTCCATCAAGGAAATAGATGTTGAAGATGGGAACAAGGCCAAAGCCTTACAGAGCTAATTATTACTAATACTTATTTTTTAGTAACTTCTATTTACAGAGTCATTCACATATAATAGGCTGTGCTGAATTTGACAGTTCTAGTGTGTGATTAACTTTTATTCAGAGTACAGATTATGGCATGTGTACATGGATTTTAGAATAGGTTATTATAATTTAAATGTCTTTAAAACTTGTTTTCACTAGCGGATGGTAAATGTTTTACAACATAAAAAATTTACCTGGAACAATTTAATGAATTTTCATATGTCATGTTTTAAAAACCTCTTTTAGAAACCAGGTTAATATTAAAATAACCTAGTATATGGTGAACATTGCTGTGCTTCGAAAGTTTTATACTTATTTCAGAATGCCTATTCTGGGATGTCAGAAACATTATAGTTAGATACAGTGAGCTCCATTCTGTTGGTTTTGAAGTCCCAGAATAGCACATTCTGTATTTTTTTCAGATAAATTTGAAAGTCTTTTCCCATGCCTGGGGGTTAGAATGGAGTAGGGGGAATAAAATGGGTTAAAGGTAATTATTTGTTGAATCCCCATCCTTACCTGTTGATCTGTAAGTGGACCGTGAGCCCACAGTTGGAGAGCAAGGTGAGAAAGCTGGTAATGGTTTAGTTGTGCATATCAAGTTCCTATCAGTTTCATGCCAGGTAAACTGCACAGGAAAAAAGAAATTAGTATATTAATTGGGAATATTAATCATATCTGAAAATTATGCCATCACCAGCACAGGACCTTGTATTATGTTAGCTCATTACTGAATTGGAAGGAAGAATACTTACCAGTGTTGCTTCGTTGGAACCTTGCTATATTCCATTGATTTTTTTCATCTATTTGAGAAGCCCAGACCGTTATTTGTCATAAGTTTTCAAGGTTATGGGTGTGTAAGAGGTTCCCTTTTTTTGTTTGTTTTGCTTAATAAAGATTAATAAATACAAATTTATTATAATAGCCCTTGAGTATTACTAGTGTTGCCATTTTGAGACCATTTCACTGGTTTTGAACATGAAAGTTTAGTTGTATTTTAGAGCACTGACTGATAAAATAATTGGTATTAGAGAAGCATTCAGATACACATTTTTCACTAGTTTACCTAAATACCACAGAATGACTTTATAGAAACTGAACTATGTTACAGTGAGCTGTCAAAGATCTGATTATGTGCTGCAAGCAAAGTTATGATGTATTGTTATACTAAAAGAGTAGCAAAGTGAGTTTGAAGTAAACCAAAGTGAAGAGTTCCCGTGGAGTAAGTTCTCTTAGAGGAGATGGGTGCTGTAAACATTCTTGTGTTCACTTTACTGACTGCATTCTTTCTTTGATGTTACAGAAACAGCATTATGAAAGAAACGAGAAAACCATAGAAACAGTTTTAAGAAAATTTTTTCAGTTTCTTTCAATTTGCTGTTTTTGTAATGCAGACAGTTTTGTAACAAGCTCCTAAAGCTGTATAAGTAATGTTTGGTGTGTAAGTTTCATACAGAGTAAGCATTAACTATTGTTAATGAAACATGCCATTTCAAAATAAAATATACTTTCATTATACTTGTCCAAATATGACCTTTTTGTTGTTGCGTGCATCTCAGATTTCTTTTTTATAAATGTTAACACGTAGAAAAAGATAAGGTCAAACATAACAAGGGTGTCAAGCCTAATCATCAGTCGTAACTTTATGTCCACATTTTCTGGTAGATGGATTTTGACTATTAATTTGGTTTTGTATGTTTTCTCTATGTGATATTTGTGCATTATTAGATGACTAGACTGGCCAAGGCAGACCTGTTACACTTGCCTGAGTTAGGCATTGTTTGCCATGCCACTAAACCTGCCGTCAAGTGAAACCTTCATTGGGGAAATGAGATCGGAGTCTGAACCGCAGAAGATGGACGCCCTGTCTCTGTTTTTTATTGTTTTACTTTAATTTCATTTCTTTTTCTTTATTTTGTCCCTTTTTTTTGTTTTTGTTTTTGTTTTTGTTTTTGTTTTGTTAAATCTCTTTCACTTTAACTTGTGAGCTGGTTTTCCAGTTCTTTGTAAATGGTATTCCATTAAGGGTTCATAACATTGCTTTGCAGATTATATTGGGAGATGATTAGCAGAGCTCAAGCTTACGATAAAGTAAATTTTCATAGTAAACTAGGATACAGTGTTGTGAAGCTCAGTGAGTCTTAATTGGTATTATAGACTGCACAGGTACATTTTGTTCTCAAAACACTAAAACACTGGTAGAATTGTTAGGAACATTTTGTGATCTCATTGCAACATTTTTGCAGTTTTTCTCCCAAATCTACATCTTTCATAAAAACCAACTGATAGTTTTTAATTTTCATCCTTCCCTGTAGAATTTTAAGCATACAAAATCCTCAAGGAAAATAAGTAAATTTCTTAGAAAATAACTTACTTCCTTGACTTATGAAGACTTTTACTTGCCTGCATAGGGAATGGATATTTGAGAAGCTTGAAAACTTACTTTCATGTATGTTTCTCTGCTTGAATTTTTTGAAAAATTTTCAGATGTTACCAGCTTCTAAATGGAATCTGAGGATTAGGATTAGTACTTAATTTTAATACCATGAGAGCTCTTTTTCCTCTCAGTTGTTTTTGAGGAGTATAGTTTGGGAAAAATGCTAAATGCTTGTTTGCTTTATACTTTGATATACTCTGATAGTATTTGGAAGGTAATTTTGATAGAATTCTGTCTTGGAAGTTAAGCAATGGGACTTTTTTCTTAAAGGATCTTTAATGGTAATTAGAATTAAAACATGTGCCTACCTATGGTTAGACTTAATATTTATAGTAGTTTATTACTACTGTGATAGGCAGTGAGGGTCAGACAACCTATTGATAAGTGAGTCTTTGGAATATTAAGTATTCAACTTTTAGCCTGTGTTGAATACGTTGTGTAGTTTTACTACACTGTCTTGTAGACACTTATGCTTATTTAATTGACAAGTAATTCTAAATTGGGAACATTAACAGATTGAAACTGTTTGTTTTTTGGGTGCACACATTAGGGTAATGAAGCATAAGATTTACACTGTGGAACCTCAATTGATTTATCAAGATGTGTTCAGGTTTTATAAGCATTTGAAAAATAATACGTAAAACGGGTCCGGTAGTAATATAAATAGCTTAGTATATATGTGGGTATACAGATACGTGTATTAATACCAATAACATAAAATAAATTCTTGTTATTTCATGTCTTCAGTAAGGCCTACCTACATTTTATTTATATTTATGCATGTTTAAAAAATTCTTTGCTTGTGCAGAATTTACATGAAATAAAAAGATAACTGTTTTTGAAATTAGTACATTAATGGAGACTTAGATGTTGCAAAATTTAGGGAAAAGGCGTTTGTTAAAGCTAATCAAATGTAATTTTTCTGTTATAACAAAGGTGTAACCATTATTTAAAGCAAAATTTAAAAGCTGTCTTGAATTCCATCCATGTTTAGAGGTATATGCAGATAATATTGTTTAGAGATTTATCCTGCACATCTGGTTGTTTTAAATAGAATTTCTTCCTCTAAAATCCAGCATGGTGCTTTTGAAACGTACTCCATATGCTATTTCCAATTTAGTGTGACTTTGTACGCTATGTTTTAAATTATTTTTGAAGACTCCATAATGGAAGTGTATAGCCAACTACCACATAATTATAAGTAGTTCTTCTAAAATCGATATCTGTAGTCAACTTTTTAAGAACTATTTTAGTGGGGGCGGTAAGAGAGAGAGGACACAATGGGAAAACGTGTGAAAGTTGCAGTTCTTATCAAAATTAATTGGTTAGAATTTAATAGTTAAATACAGCAAATTGAACTTATTTTAGAGTAGATTTTTCATTAATTGTAGGGATTTTTTTCTTAGTGTCTAAGAATATTTTAGTGTTTTTGTCGTTATTTTTATTAGGCAGTTAAGATACTTACAAGCAAGACATTTAGGCATTAACCACCCCTCTTCAGACAAGGATACATAAATTGGTTCTAAAAGTCAGGAGTTTAAGAAGTTTCCTGAGACTAGGGAACTTTTATTGTTAGGAATTCTCAAAAATTTTAAGTTTCCCAAGGCATATTCTTTGAAATTGGATTCTTTTAGGCGTCTCTGACCTAGTTGGTGAGATGTCTTCTTAACTGGATGGGTGTAGGCTTCCTTTTAAATTGAAGCTGATTGCTTGCAGTAGGCTTTTGTTTTTTTCTGTCTACTTGAAAGTGAATGGAATTTATTGGGAGGTTATTAAAATTGTTTGCATCACCAGTAGGTAGGTTTAGTAACCAGGATAGGGGCACCCATTAAGGAACAAATTTCAATTCGCACATATTTGTTTTTCCTTTTCTTTTTTTTGACTAATTTGGTTATTTGCCATTTCTGGGGATTAAACTTTAAAAAATGTTCTTCTTTTCTGTATCTGATGTTCTGTGTGCTATTAGTGATGCAGCCAACACGAACGGTTGTCATGTGTAACACAACTTTCGATCACCGCGAAAACACCGTCCTGGGAAAGCGTCCATGCTTGATATCGTTTGGTTCATGAACATTAAGTTTCCAGTACAGGTGACCCATAGCTCAAAGTGTTAAATAATTGTCTACATTATTCAATTTTTAAAATAATATTCCATTATTGAGATTGTTAGTCTTTGAAGTTTTGCTCACTTTTATTTTTCCTAGTAGAGCAGGATAAAAGGAAAGACTTAAGTTCTTATTTATTTCTTTATACAGATCTGATAGATAGATTCATTTATTATTATTATTTTTTAAGTGCAAGGGTAATTGTAAAATCATAGTGTAAAGTTTGTGTGGTGTTTCTGCTTTCCATAATGTTTGGAACTTGCCTCTGCAGGTAAAATTCCAGAGGAATCCAAAGCTCTCTCTTTATTGGCTCCTGCTCCAACCATGACAAGTCTCATGCCTGGTGCAGGCTTGCTTCCCATTCCGACCCCAAATCCCTTGACTACAGTAAGTATTACACACCGTTTTTTGAAACGGATTTATGTTTACTTGTGTAATTAGCTGAATAAAGAGCTTAGAAAATTATTTCTGTTTAAAATTTTTTTTTAAATGAAAAGGATTCAGAATGTCTACTTAAACAACCCCCCCCCCCCGTTATCACTGACAGTTTAAACTGACTTTCGGAATTACTTCTGAAGTAATTGGCATTCATTTAAATTTGAGAACTAAAATAGATTATTCATTAGAAAATCAGTTATTGACACTTAGCATTTTAGATCACATGGGGAATTGGAAAATCTAGGTAACTGTATTCCCCATTTCATGAAGACTAAATCTATTAAAGTAAAATAAAATGACCCATAGCTTTGTAACAGGAAAAAAACCTCTGAGAAATATTTGTCTGATATTGAGAAAATGTAACAAGATAAAAACATGGCAGAAATATTTTTTTCATTAACTGTGTACAATTAAATAGGAATTTATTACTGTTTTTGTAATTTCTAGGAGGGGTTAAAAAAGATTTTGCTGCTACTGGGCTCTTGGCTTTTTGTTTTTGTTTTTGTTTTTGTTTTTAGAGTGAGAGAAAGAGAACATGTGCATGAGGGTGGGAGACAGTGCAGAGGGCGAGAGAGAGAAAATCTCCAGAAGGCTCCATGCTCAGCACAGGGCTTGATTCCACTACCCTGGGATTGTGACCTAAGCCTAAATCAAGGCTCAGTTCCTCAACCAACTGAACCACCCAGGTGCTCCTGGGCTCTTGGTTTTTATGTAAAAGATTCCAGTCATATTTAATTTAAAGAGGGGTCATTTTTCTTCAGAAATTAATGGAAGCCAAAATATAAAATTCACCTTAATTGCAAGTTGTATCTTAGCTTTGTGGTTTTAGATTATTAGGGGATGAACTAATACTAGCTTTATGATAGTAATTTTTTTTAAATACTTCTTTTCTTTCTTATTTTTAAAAATTTTGAGTAATCACTTCACCCAGCCTGGGGCTTGAACTCACAACCCAGAGATCAAGAGTTGCATGCTCCACCAACTGAACTACAAACCGCCCCCCCCCCCCACCTCTTTTTAAAGTAAGCTCTGCCCCTGTTGTGCTTGAACTCATGACGTGGAGATCAAGGGTAGCAGGCTCTACTGACTGTATCAGCTAGGTGTCCTGGGATGGTAGTTTGTTTAATCAGGTTATAAAAGTGGTCTTTGAAACTTTGAAATGCACAATTTTAGTTCTTGTTTGCATAAGATTGTTCTGCTGGAGACCTGCATTGTGATCCGTGGTGGGAAAATGCTTTTTTTAAAAAAAAATGTTTATTTATTTTTGAGACAGAGAGAGACAGAGCATGAACGGGGGAGGGTCAGAGAGAGGGAGACACAGAATCTGAAACAGGCTCCAGGCTCTGAGCTGTCAGCACAGAGCCCGACGCGGGGCTCAAACCCACACACTATGAGATCATGATCTGAGCCAGTCAGATGCTTAACTGTCTGAGCCACCCAGACGCCCGGGAAAATGCTTT